TTCTCCTTGACAAGAGTGGATGTGACGAGGACGCTGGGGCTGAGTATAGACACGCATAGTGTTCTCTGTAAACGTCAGATACCACTGTTGGGTCATTTGTCGGTTCTCCGTTTCTGTCCCTCAAGGAGAACGTGGATGGCTTGTTTCTGCGGCGATGTCTCATGTACTTGAACAGTACGTTTTTTTTCGAGCTAGGTCCAGAATGGTGGTTGCGTCGGCCGCGACTCCGAATTGCCATAATATAAGGATGTACAACTACCATCGGAATGGCTAAGTATGACGTCGGCTGAACTATCGCCAAGTAAAGGATTTTTTCCGCCTGTTCTCCAGGACTGTTGTGATGCAGCTGTTGCACCTCTTGAATACGATCCTCGGATAGGAGCTTCACTTTTGTGTAGGTTTTTTGAATTCTTGCATCCCGCGCAAATTCCTCTGTACGGCAGTGAGCGAAGAAAAAGTGAATAAAGACACAAACTTTCGTTTATTTCCATTTCCGCCTTATAATCCATCTGAGTGAAGAGATTCGTTTTCAGGCTACATACACATTCGGTAAATATCCATTTCATACACCTATCTTCTGATGTCCCATTAGCTGTAAAGGAGAGCAGCTTGAGGATGAGAGTAAATGCACGGCACAAATAGGATGTATTCTAACAGAGGTTTTCAGGAGCAGGGTATGTTAGAGTGGAAGATTTAACACAAAGACAAGCATTAGGCTTGTAAATAGATCAGACTTGTGGGCGGCGGAAAGCTCGATAGCGATGTGGTCGGTATCGCACTAGGGGTGGAGTTTGGTAGTATGTCAAAAGTGTGATTATCGGAGACGGGATTGGCGGAAAAAAATCGGTGCTGGGGTCGTATACATGAAGAGGGAAGCCCAATGACATGACTGATAAAGGAGACCACCAGAAATCTGAAAATTAGCTTCTTACAAGACTCCCGTTAGTGAAAGTCTTGAGATATTTTGTCATGTTTTTTCGCGCAATCATGGCAAGTTTTCTGGATATTTTGTGATGCTTTGGTGAGCAAAATTGTCTGCAGCGCAGCCTATGTCGAGGCGTTCCGTTTTTCTTCAAAGAAAAACGCGGCCGACGGATGGTGAGGTGTTGAGAATGTGTTGTTTCCCGTAAGTCAAAGACAGACAAATTAAGATTACTCAAATTTCTAAATTGTTTTGTCACTGTATGCTCAACAGCACCTGCGAAATAAATCAAAGGTAAAAATCTGGTTTTGAGATCAACTTGAAAGTCGCATGTACGCGGAATTACCGAGGTTTTGATGACTGCGGCGCTTAGTGCGGCCCCGCCTAGCAGAGACATACAGAAACTTCGTCGAGGAATTAGGGTCTTAAGTATCACATTTTCTTTGCATAGTATAAACAGTACACGAGCAGCTCTCTTCTTGAGCCAATTTGCCATGTTTTCTACCGATTAGGGCTGAATACGAAACTCTGGGTGTTATAAACTTTTTGCTTTCATCTGAAAGGGAAGAGCCTTATGTGATATGGCCTTGACGTTACGATATAATTGCGTGCAAGCACGCAGCTTCTCTAAAGAATATCAAACTACCGATCCAAAGAATGCTTTTAGAAGTTGGTGATTATGTTATCATTGACTTTTACAAAGACGAAGAGTTCCTCTCGCGTGCGTGATTCCCGGCACCACAACCTTATGTTCACCTTACGTGGAC